TGATATTCAGATCTAGTACCTGTGTTATTTTTAAAGAATTTTGCAACTGTTTATTTTTCACTGTATTAATTTTTTGTTATATTTTATGGCATATTGATTTTCCATTCTTGATCATGATGTGGGGCTTCTTTTTAAAATGTATTTAAATTAAAAGTTCATGTAATTGTAATGGAAATATTAATCAAATAATTATTGAGGTGGTATTTGGACATATAAATCCTAAAGATGATACATGGGTGCTCAAGATCTGGGAAAAACCTTGATTCATAATATGTGGTGAGCACTGTGATAGTTACCACGTGCAATGTCTCAGTGAAAGGAGTCAGAATTCTTCTTTTTCAGTACCTCACAGCTCACCAGGAGAATTAGTCTGGCACCTGATACACAAAGCAACACATTGTTGCCAATAGTGATGGCACTTGCTTTTCTAACTCTGCACAGTGCTAGGGATTTCTCCTTTCTATCAATGTTACTGCTAAGATTAATTAACTCAACAAATAGGATTCCTATCAGGTTTCAACCAATTACCTGTATGCTAGGTGTATAAAGACCAAAGAAACATAATCCTTATCTTGTCTACAGACACAGGGAAGTGGAAGGAAGGGGCACAGAGGAAGAGGAAACAAGTGAACTAGACAGAGAAGATGTTGCTACAGAAGTTGGAGAAAAACCAGCAGAACTATCTCTTGTGAGTATGAGAGTGCTCACCTATACTTGACAATTCCATTGATCATTGGGTCCACACCCTCAAATATGTCTATGTAAGCCTGAATGATATTTGTGCCTTTAACCTACAAAATAATGGATTTTAATTAGCATGCCTATGTATACTAACCACTCTGTATTTGGGAAGCTGTCAGTGAATTACTCAATTCAGTTCCAGTGTGAGGAAAATCACAGTGACAGATATACCAGGATACATTAAGAAGTCAAAAAATAAAGAATATACTGGCATTGGAAGTTGTGAGAAGTATGGAGCTGAAATACAGAGACTCTTCTCTTAGTGAAGAAAATTTGAGTCGATAGATGTTCTATGATCACTTGCTTACCATACATTATTACCAATAGCAAATAGTCAGTACAATAACATCTGAACTTTATTGGGTGTGTATAATGTTCCATAATCTTCATAGAATAAATGTTTACTTAAAACCTCCAGAGCACTAGATTCCAGGCACTGTGGGCACACATAATGACTCAAGTTTGGTCCTAGGCTCAAATAGCTCACAGTCTAATGAACAGAAAGAGACACAGATAATTACAGTTCTGCTGAGATGGAAAGCCAGAAAGCTATGAGAAGAGCTAGAAAAACAGAGATGGGCCCCTTTAATTTATGTAGCCTCAGTAGGAAACTTGTTTAGGAGGTAGGCACTATTATTATCTCTATTTGTCTAATGAGTAATTAACAGAATAATTCCTGGCATATGGCAAACACGCAATACACATTCCTTTAAGAAAAGGGTACCCAAGCCGGGCTCAGTGGCTCAGCCTGTAATCCCGCGCCTTTGGGAGGCTGAGGAGAGTGGATTGCCTGAGCCCGCGGGTTCGAGACCCGTCTGGGCAGGCGAGACCTCATCTCTACAATAAATCAAAAAATTAGCCGGGCGTGGTAGCGCGCTCCTGTAATTCCGGCTACTCGGAAGGCTGAGGCAGAAGGATCGCCGGAACCCAGCTGGTCGAGGCTGCGGTGGCCGGGAGCGGCCACTGCGCTCCAGTCTAGGTGACAGAGTGAGACTCCAACTCCAAAACAAAAAAAAAGAAAGCACTGTGACATGAAAGGATGACCCAAGGCCATGTTGTGCTAACAGAACAGTCTGTGCCTGAGAACAGTGTGAGGTTGGCAACGAATCTCAAATGTGGAAAGGAAAGGAAATTTTATTTAAATAAGAAAAGATAATTCAACATATTTGATGAAAGGTTATGCTCTGAGTACGTGGAGGTAACTTCGGCATTTAAAGTAGCTTAAAGAAAAAAGAGTTTAAAACTTTACACAAAGAAGGAAACGAAATCCTTGAAGTAATCCTAGTGAGAGCTAACAAAGCATTTAAGTGTATATATATCTCTGAAAATTGGAAGAGCAACAGTTTTACATTGTGAAGTTTTTTTTCCTTTGCAGAATAGAGTTTTTTAAATAAAAAAACATACTAATGACCAAATTATGGGACTTAATTAAGAGTTACTGACAGTCTGGTGAATGTGTTTTCTTCCTCCCAGATGGGGAAAGGAAGGCACAGGTATCTGATTAGTATTAGAGCAGACTGGCATCGCCCAGACTGGAAGTTGATGTGAGTGGGTCAAATTCAGCGAGCGTGTGAGCCCGCACATGTGTGTATTTGTAAAGCACTGTTTTATGAAAAGCCATCAGAATCTGTCTGTTGTATCCAAGCCTGTTTAAAATGGAAGCGTGTTGCTGGAGTTTGTGAAAGGAGTGAAGTGCTCTTTAGGCCACAGGATTTTTAAGGTGGAAGATGCCCTACATGTCATTTATTTCAGTCAGTGCTATTAAAACTGAGGTCCAAGGGAATTTGTATACTCAAGGTTACAAACTTAAAAGCAGAGTTGAGATCGGTACCGAGTCTCCTAGGAACCTGCCCAGTGCAGTTTCTGATACTCTATAGTGCTATATATTTTTGTAATAGTAGATATTAAAGGTAAACTAGACTTCACAGGTAAAACTAGCTATATTGTTGTGTGGAACAAAATGTAAGTGCTAAGAAGAGTTGCACTTCTCCAAGGAATTTGTTTTTACCTATGTAATGGGTCATGTTTCCTTCTTAGGGATATGGTAGCAAATTCAGGACCAAACGTATGGCCAATCTCTAAAAAGTAGCAAATTCAGGGCCAAACGTCTGGCCAATCTCTAAGAGTACAAAGAAATAAAGAACCGAACAGCTGATACTTTTTCCAGGCATAAACCCGCTCCTGGGCTGGGCGTGATGACTCACACCAGCAATCCCAACGCTTTGGGAGGCCAAGGTGAGAACTGCCTCAGGCCGGGAGTTTAAGACCAGCCTGGGCATAGTGGGATCTTGTCTCCACCGAAAACCAAAAAATTAGCCAGGTGTGGTGGCACACACCTGTAGACCCAGCTACTTGGGAGGTCGAGGCTGCGGTGAGCCATGATCATATCACTGCACTCCAGCCTGGGTGATAGAGTAGAACTCTGACTCAGAAAAACCAAAACAACCCACTTCTCATTTTATCTTGCTAGTCCTATTCTCATTTTATTTTTGCCCAATTTTCTCACTTAAGATAAATCTCTAATTCAGTCAATATATGTTAAGTGCATACTATATATACTATTTAGGTATTGGAGATACTGTATGGATCAAAACAGACAAAAATCTCTGCCCTTGGGGGGCTTACTTTCTAGTGGGGAAGACAGATCATTATATTGTGTCTACTGAAGCCTCTTTAAATCTTTTTTGAAACAAATAAGCATTTAAAAATTTGTGAAATTTGATGTTTTCAGCGTGTTTTGTTTTAGAAATTGCATGGTTTGAAATAGTCTGGGGAGTAGTTTGGTTTTCAGTATTGTGATGTTTGAAATGAATCTGGGAAATAGGCTAAACAGATTATGAAGCATCGCTTTGGTAAGCAGAGTTTTCTCACATCAGGGTGGTGATCTGAGATTCTAGAGCATGTTGATGTATAAAGACAAAGGGATGTTGGTTTCTTTCTGGGTAAAATCGTTGTCACATCTCTTCAAACTTGGAAGCCACTATTAGTATTAAAGCCAGAAAACAAAAGGATTCGTTTACAGCTTTGTTTCCATTGCCCCTGCTTCTCATTCTGCTTATTAAGAATGACATTAAACCGGGCACAATGGCTCACACCTGTCATCCCAGCACTTTGGGAGGCAGAGGTGAGAGGATTGCTCGGGCCCAGGTGTTCGAGACCAGCCCGGGCAACTTGGCGAGACCTTATATCTACAATAAATCAAAACAATTTAGCTGGGTATGGTGGCTCACACCTCTAGTATTTCCAGCTACTTTGAAGGCTGAGGCGGAAGGATCCCCTGAGCCCAGCAGGTTGAGGCTGCAGTGGCCTTGAGCGTGCCACTGCACTCCTGCCTGGGCAACAGTGTGAGACTCCTACTCAAAAAAAAAGAATGACATTACCTTTTTTTTTTTTCCCATCGATAAGAGTCATGGTTGGGGGTGGTGGCTCACCTGAAATCCCAACACTTTGGGAAGCTGAGGCAGGAGGACTGCGTGAGTCCAGGAGTTTGAGACCAGCCTAGGCAGCATAGTGAGACCTTGTCTCTATAAAAAATAAAAAAAATTAGCCTGTCCTGGGGAGGCTGAGGCAGAAGGAAGAATTGCTTAGCCCAGGAGGTTGAGGCTGCGATGAGCTGAGATCATGCCACTGCGGTCCAGCCTGGGTGACAGAGTGAGACCCCCTACTCAAAAAAAAAAGTCAGACATAGTGGCCCACGCCTGTAATCCCAGCACTTTGGGAGGCAACAGCGGTGAGAGGATTGCCTGAGCCCAGTGGTTCAGGACCAGCCTGGGCAACTTGGTGAGACCTCGTCTCTACAATAAATAAAAAATATTAGCTGGGTGTGGTGGTTTATGCCTGTGGTTCCAGCTACTCGGGAGGCTGAGGCGGAAGGATCGCCTGAGCCCCGCAGGTCAAGACTGCGGCAGCTGTGAGCGTGCCACTGCATTCCAGCCTGGGTGCCAGAGTGAGACTCCGACTCAGGAAAAAAAAAAGGAATGTCATGATGTCTACAACTGTCTTGCAAATGATTCAGCATAATGCTAATAGTTATGTACATACAGAGAGAGACAGAAATAAAGCAAATGTGTCGAAATGTTGACAATTGGTGAGTCTAGGTAAAGGGTATATAAGTCCTCTTTACACTGCTTTTACAACTCTTCTCTTTGAAAATGTTCAAAACAAGTTGAGGGAATATAGCTGGTTTAGCAGCTTCTTTCTTGCTTTTTGCTTTTTATTCCAGCGACTTTGTGGGGTGCAAATGGTTTGGGGTCACACAGAGCATTGGGGAGCAGGGAAGAAGTCTGGCCTATAAGTGTGCCCACCACCCCCTCCCGTGCACAGCGTATCCAGCAGGCGACCTTCCATCCCTCCCCGCTTCCCACCAGCCCCCTTCAGAGTCTCCAGCGTCTGCTGCACTGTTCTCTGTGCCTCTGCAGGCCCTCGGGTCAGCATCCACTTAGAAGGGAGAACATGCCGTGTTTGGCTTTCTGTTCCTGCGTTAGTTCATGTAGGACGATGTTCTCCAGTTCCATCCAAGTTGCTGCAAAAGACATTGTTTCATTCTTTCTCATGGTTGAATAGTATTCCAAGGTATATACACACACACACCCGCTTTCATTGTCAACTGATCAGTTGACGGGCATTTAGACTGATTCCACATCTTTGTAATTGTGAATCGTGCTGCGATAAATATCCGAGTGTCTTTTTTATAAAATGACCTTTTTTCCTTTGGGCAGATACCTAGTCATGGGATTGTTGGGTTGAATGGTAGATCTATTTTTAGTTCTTAGAGAAATCTCCATACCGATTTCCATGGAGGCTGTACTATTTTGCACTCCCACCAACAGTGTGTAAGTATTCTCTTTTCACTTTATCCATACCAGCGTCTATTTTTTAGAAGTTTTTAAAATAATGGTAACTCACAGTTTTAATTTGCATTTCCCTGATGATGAGTGATATTGAACATTTGTTCATATGTTTGTTGGCCATTTGTATACCTCCTTTTGAAAGATGTCTGTTCATGTCATTTGCTCACTTTTTAATGGTGTTATTTGCTTTTTTCTTGCTGATTTGTTTGAGTTGTTTGTAGATTCTGGATATTAGTCCTTCTTCAGATGTATTGTATAATTTGTGAATATCTTCTCCCGTTCTGTAGGTTGCCTGTTTGCTCTGTTGATTATTTATTTTGCTGTGCAGAAGCTTTTTAATGTAATTAAGTTCCACCTATTTTTGCTTTTGTTGCATTTGCTTTTTGTGTTTTAGCAATAAATTATTTGCCTAAACCAATGTTCATAAGAGTTTTTCCTAGGTTTTCTTCTAGGATTTTTATGGCTTCAGGTCTGACTTTTAAGTCTTTAATCCATCCTGGGTTAATTTTTTACATGGCGAGAGATAGGGTCCAAGTTTCATTTTTCTGCATGTAGTTATCCAGTTTTCCTAGCACCGTTTTTGCAGAGTGTCCTCTCCCTGGGTCTGTTTTTGTCTGTGGTTTAGCAGTTTCTTAAAAAGTCAAATATACACTTACTACATATACCGTCTCCCGGGCACTTAGGCAAGAGAAATGCAAACAAAGACCTGTACACAAATGTTGATAGCAGCTTTATTACTGATGCTAAAAACTGGCAGATGGGGCGCTATCAGCTAGTGATGCATAAAAGATACAGGCCCATCCATATAGTGGAATAGTACTGCGCAGTAAAGTAAGTGAATGGTTGACCGTGCGGCCGCACGGATGAATCTCAGACGGACTGCACTGAATGAAAAGTCGGACACAGAGGGCTAACCTCATCATTTCACTTCCATGACGTTCTGGAGGAGGAAAACCTGCATGGAATGCTGTGAGATCAGTGGTTGCCGGGAGATGGCGTGGACTAAGGGGCTTGACTCTAAAGCGAAGAACAGTGTGGTTTCGGGGGGGCGCTGACACCTTCTGTGTCTCAGCTGTGGTGATGGCTGCACACATACACATTTGTGGAAACTGTTAGAACTGTTTACGCATGTTGAGTGAATTTTTCTACATGTAAACTCAACTTCAATAAACCTCATTTTAAGAAAGAGTTGGAAGAAAACAGAAAATCAATTTTTATTGGGTAGATTATTTTGCTAGGTCTATAGTTAAACTAAGGTTAAAGGTCCCAGATCAGATTATGTTTGCTAAATGTTTTCCTGCCAATTGTGGTAAAGATAGCTTTCAAATATAGAATGAGATTTTTCTTTGTAGATAGTCTGTACTTATATACCTTTAGACTTGTGTTGGTTTCAAAGTCATGAAACAGTGTTTTAGATAGGGGTTGGAAGCTTTATTTGTAAAGACCCAGATTGTAGCCGGGCATGGTGGCTCATGACTGTAATCCCAGCACTTTGGGAGGCCGAGGTGGGAGGATTGCTTGAGCTCAGGTTCAAGGCCAGCCTGAGCAACATGGTGAGACCTCATCTCTACAATAAATCAAAAAGTCAGCCGAGTGTGGTGGTGCATGCCTGTGGTTCCAATTACTTGGAAGATTGAGGTAGAAGGATCAGGTCGAGGCTGCAGTGGCCATGAGCGTGTCACTGCATTCCAGCCTGGGCAACAGAATGAGACTCCAACTCAAAAAAAAAAAAAAGACCCAGATTGTAAATATTTCAGGCTTTGCAGGTGCAGGCCATGTGATCTCTGTCACACTTACTTCTGCTTTTGTAGCAAGAAAGTAGCCATAGCTGATTTGTAAATAAACACGTGTGACTGTGTTCCAGCAAAGCTGTATTTGCAAAGCAGGCATTAGGGACTGTAGTGTGTTGACCCCTGTTCTAGGTAGTTTAGATAATTGAAAGCCATAAAGCAACGGTCAAAGCAAAACTTGCCGCTAGCTAAGAAAATGTTCCTTAAAATATATCCATTTGTCTGTTAGGAATTAAACATGGGCCAGCGATGTTCAGACACTAGAGGAATCGTCTTCGAAGATGTGAGAGTACCTAAGGAAAACGTTTTAATTGGTGAAGGAGCTGGTTTCAAAATTGCGATGGGGGCCTTTGATAAAACCAGACCTCCGGTAAGTAAAATGAGTATTATTGGACCTTCTCTTTGTACATTAAATAGGTAGTTTTATTTTAACATCGTATACATGGTGTGTTTTTCTTTTCAAATTTCTGCTTTTTTTATTAAGAATGGAGGAGAGGCCGGGCTCGGTGGCGCAGCCTGTAATCCCACGCTTTGGGAGGCCGAGATGAGCGAATTGCCTGAGCCCGCGGGTTCAAGACCCGTTTGGGCAACTTGGCGAGACCTCATCTCTGCAATAAAAAAATCCAAAAAATTAGCTGGACATGGTAGTGTGCACCTGTAGTTCCGGCTACTTGAAAGGCTGAGGCGAATGCATTGCCGGAACCCAGCAGGTCGAGGCTGCAGTGGCCAGAGTGTGCCACTGCACTTCAGTCTGGGTGATGGAGTGAGACTCCAACTCAAAAAAAAAAAAAAAAAAAAAAAGAATGGAGGAGAAGGGTTGTGTTGGGTCATGAACTGTAACCCCAGCAGCACTTTGGGAGGCAGAGGTGAAAAGATTGCCTGAGCCCAGAGTTTCCAGACCAGCCTGGGCCACTTGGTGAAACCTCTTCTCTACAATAATTCAAAAGAAAAGAAAATTAGCCAGGCGTGGTGCACGCCTGTCGTCCCAGGTATTTGGAAGGCTGAGGTAGAAGGATCACCTAGGCCAAGCAGGTCTAGGCAGCGGTAGCCATGAGCCATGGCCATGTCACTGCAATCCAGCCTGGGTGACAGAGTGAAACTCTGACTCAAAAAAAAAAGGGTGGAGGAGAGAGATTGTTACTTTGGTTGTTTAGAATTCTTCAACTTTATTGCTGCCCATTATAGAACTTTATTTTAGCAAATGCAAAATTACTGTAGCTGCTGCCAGATTTACAGAAAGACTGGCCACACTCACTTTGATCATTCCTGTTTATATGCACTCATTTCCTCTTCCTTCACTCACTAAGAGTATTTCTCCTAAGCTATTACCCTTGTGAAACGGAAGGAATGACTTTTGTCTAGGCTGTGATCCTTGGCCTCAAAGCGTCTTCCGTCACCTTTAATTCATAAATCATATAAACCCAAGTGCCTGTCTCCCCCACCCCCTTGCCCTTGTTGCTGTGGTTATCTTCTCTCTGTAGAGTCTTAGTCTCGGAATCTTAGGCAGATAGCCATGTACTGTGTGTTCTACAGACAATGTGAACTTTTGCTTTCTAAAACATGAAAACCCTAGGTTGCTGCTGGTGCTGTCGGGTTAGCGCAGAGAGCCTTGGATGAAGCCACCAAGTATGCCCTGGAAAGGAAGACGTTTGGAAAGCTGCTCGTGGAGGTGACGTTAATGCTGTGCTTGCTCGCTTCAAATGTGGAAACGCGTTTTCACCCACATATTTAGAAATTGCTTTTTGAAGTGCAGACTCACCTGTTCTACTTTGTTAGCAACAAGATAATGTGGCTTTGTCAAAATGGGTTTCAGCAATACAGTTGACTTTGCCACTCACTTATGTACCTGACACTGCTAGGCGTTTAAAACATATCTTCTAATTCTATAGTAACCCTTTGTAGGCCTCTATTGAAGATCAGGAAACTGAGGCTCAGAGTTACTACATAATTTGTCCTAGGCCACACAATTTGTCATGGATCCAGGATTCTATTTCATACTCTAAATCTATTTTACGTCTCATGTCTTTGGTATCAAATAACTTTAGTACTAAAGAATCATGTCTTTTTGGTCAAAAACGGCTGCACACTCAACACAGTGTGGGTTGGTGCACTTGTAAATCACCCATCATGAAATGGGCAGACACACTGAAAGAATCTCCAAAAAAATTCGCTGAAGCCAAATGCAGCCTCTCACAACAATACCAGCTGGTCCACAGATACTAATGGGTTTCAAGAACACTTACCTAGTGGGGAAGCCTGTGCCACCAGGGGTCTGCCCTCCAAAAGATAATTCTGGATTTTTGGGGGTCCCTCCTTGAACATCACTCAGACATTGTGAGAAATGAAACTTGGAGCCACCAGCGTTTGTTGTCTCTTTGGGAAACGGTGTGACTTGGAAAAGGTCTTGAGGTGAAAGCCAGGGCTAAGTTTGAAGCCTGCTTTCACAAATTCCTAGTTGTGGGACCTTGGGCAATTCAGTTAACTTCTCTCAGCTTTAGTATCCTCATGTGTAAAGGGGCACTATGACAATTCCTCCCGGTGTGAACTCATATGACTGTGGCTTCCTTGACAAAACGTTAAGTTGTACCCCCCGTCCTGGCCTCTTCTCTGAGCTTCACGCTTGGATTTTCAAATGATTCCTCAACATCTTCACCCGATACGCAAAAGGAGTCTCAGACTCTTACTTTCTGTTCCTTCCTTACCTGTTGGATGGATGCTCAAGATCCATCTAGTATCTTCTCAGCACACTCATTAAAATCTGCAGTCTTTACCGTGGGCTCCTGTCAACCACTCTGGCCTTTTGCTGTCCTCTTTAACGCTTTCCTCAGATATCCTTATGGACAACCCTTTTCTCTTCAAATTGCACTTTCTCATTCGTTTCACTAAGAATCCGCCTCTGATCACTGTGTAAAACAAGACCTTCAGCACTATGCTGATGTTCCCCTTTTCCTACAAAGCTCTTATCACTACCCAACATACGAGAAGGGAGCCCCCACAAAGTTTTAAATTATCCTTGGGAGGACAAGTCCTTGTCATACACCAGCAATGTGTTCCTCTGGATCAGAGAGTCAACCAAAAAGTTTTTATCTGGACGTTTGAGAAGGTTGCCTCACGATTTGCAGAAGTAACGTCCTGAGTTGTGGCAGACAGGCGCCTGGTTCTTCTTCTGTGACCTGTCCACACCGTGTGAGTGTTCAGCCGTTTTTGATCTAGAACAGCTTAACCCTGTGCCCCAGTCTCCCTGTTCATCTGATCTCACCCCGAGCGATTTGTTTGTGTTTCCCTGGATGAAACAAGTCCCCCAAGGGAAGCGTGTTGCTGATGAGGAAGAGGTGAAACAAAAAACAGCAGAAGCACTAAGAGCATCAAAACTGATGATTTCAAAAACAGGTTTGGGCAGTGGGAAAAGTGTCTCGATGGGTGTATTGCGTCAAAAAGGAGAGCACTTTGAAGGTGACTGGAGTTTAAACATGTAAGAATACATACTTCTTCATACACAAATTCCATCTTTGGGGGGGTCCCCCTTCATGTATCATATACACGTCTGTCTGTTTTCTCCCCTCATACTCACAACTAGAATGTCAATCCGTATAAGCAGGTTATTTTTGGTTTTGAAAGCCCTTATATTCCTCGCACTTTGGATATGCCTTGTGCTGCGAACTGCTATTTCATTCATTCCGCAAATAGTAGTTGACTACTTACTACATTAACAGGCTGACAATTGGATGCTTTCCCTGTTCTGTAGATTATTCTCAGGGCTTTGCATGTGATCTTCATCATCACAGTCCTGTGGAGCAGGTACTGTTATTTTCATTTATCTACGTAAAAGACCCAGCTAATAAATCACAGAGCCAAGATTTGATCCCACACTTGAAGAGCCTGTCTTCTGTACTCTGCGTGTGCTCTTCCCAGGGACAGAAAAGAGATTTGTTGTAGTTTCTGCTCTCAGGAACTTTCGGCCCTACTTTGTTGACAGTCCTTCATTTTGCTTTTGTTACGAGATAAGATACCTATTACGAAACAAATATTCAAAATAATATAGAGCGACAGAAAAGTAAAGTCTCAAAGTTACAGGTAGGGTTACAGAAACCGAAAGGACAGAGATCGTCATGGGCTGGATACAGGACGGGGAGTGTGAACTGGGTTCATCATACTGGATACAGGACAGGGAGATGAACCAAGTGCGACTGAAAAGCAAGCTGAATGAGTCTTCTTGGGAGTGTCCCTTAGAAACAAACCTGAGCACCGCCCAGAGATTTTTCATCAAAACCTCTCGAGAGGAGTGTGGGCATCTAAGGCTGTGGGAAATAAGCACTTGTGTGTAGTGTTGGTGGGAGGGAAGTTGACGCCACTCCTGTGAACTTCCTTTGGTGACATCCACCAAGGTGGCTCCCTCTGGGCCCACGGGCGGGTGAACCCACAGCTGTCTTCCATGTGATGTTCATCCTTCGTTTCAGCATCGTGTAGAGACAGCCAGTGTTGGCCATTCGTAGAGTGGATGGAATGCTTTGCAGCAATAACAAAATGAGGAAGTTCTTTATGTGTTGATACGAAAACTCTCTGAGATTTATTGATAAGTAACAAAAGCAAAATGCAGGGCCATCGACATTTGTGTGAAAAGGGGGAGACTATAGATATATTTGCTTGTAGGTGCATAAAACAACCCTGGGACGACTAAAAGAACTGGTAACCCCAGTCACCTCCTGGACAGGGGTGGGAGGAGGGCAGGGTGATACAAAGAAGTAGGAAGGGCCGGGCCCCACGGCTCATGTTTTAATCCTGTAACTGGGAGGCCAGGCAGGCAAAGTGTCGATCCCAGGAATCGGAGACCAGCCTGAGCAATGTAGCAAGACCTCGTCTCTACCAAAACTCAAAAACTAGTCAGGCGTGGTGTCACGCGCCTATAGTCTCAGCTGCTCGGGAGGCTGAGGCAGAGGGATCGCCTGGACCCAGAAGTCAGGGCTGTGGTGGTGAGCCATGATCCCGCCCCTGCACTCCAGCCTGGGCAACAGAGTAAGACTCTGACTCCGAAACAGAAAGGAGAAAAACATTTTACTGTATATCCATGTGTAACTTTTGAACTTTAAACTGGTAGATGTGTTACCTACTCAAAAAATAAAGTGAAGTGAAAAATTTTTTTAAATTGGAATAATTATTGGCTTAGAAGAATGGACACAATTCAGGCAGGCAGAACTGGGGGACAGGGTGCTACATTTCTTGTTGCACGTAGGAGGAGTTAAGGCAGCCCCCCTTGTCCCTGGGTGATGCATGCCCGTGGTAAAGTCTATAAATTAGGGCAGTAAGAGACAAGTGGCTAACGGGCAGGTAGCATGGACAGTGTGGTCAAAGGGATAATGGCAGTGAACGTTTGGCTCTACATTTGTTTTTCCATGAGTATTGTCCCAAACCGGTAGCTGTACTGCATATTTGAAAATTTCACATAACAGTATATGGTGAACATATTTCTATCCTGTAATATACCTCGGCTGTACAAGCAACTCAGAGAACACTTACTGACCCTTACTGAAAGTGTTTGTTTTGGCCGGGTGCAGTGGTTCATAACCTGAAATCCCAGCACTTTGGGAGACTGAGGCAGAAGGATCATCTGAGGCCAGGAGTTCAAGGCCAGCCTGGGCAACATAGCAAGACACCATCTACAAAACAAAACAAAAATATGTCTTGTCTTCTGCGTGATGATGACTCTGTGGAGGGTGAGAAGCATCTTCACTTGTCCTTTCCCTTCCTGCAGGAGCTGATACTATGGCACATGATTTTTCCGTCTATAGCAATTTTTCTTTAAAACTCCTAGCAGACATCCAGAAAGAATCATAAAGTTTTTGTGATATTTGTGCCCAAAGTGCACGACCTCATTCCGGTTATGAGAAAACATTAGACAAACCCAAATTGAGGGACGTTTTCCAAAAATAACCAATTAGCATTCTTCAAAGTCGTGAAAGATAAGGAAAGACAGGAATTGTAGCGGCCTGGAAGGGACTAAGAAGAAATATTAAAACTAGATACAGCGTGTGATCCTGTAAGGAAAAAGGCCATTAGTGGAACACTGGGCGACCTTGGAGTAAAGGCTGCAGTTTAGTTGACAGTTTCACGCCAGGTTGATGCCTGTCCTTGATCACTGCCCTGTGGTTTTGTATGATGTTAACATTAGAGGAAGTTGTGTGGGTATGACTTTTGCTTAAGTCTAACATTAGTTAATAAAGAGGCTTTTTTTTTTTTAGTCCCTAGGGAAAACCTTCTAAGTTTTATCAATAGGTATTCTGAAACGTTCTTCTTTTTAATTCTAGCACCAAGGGATATCATTTTTGCTGGCTGAAATGGCAATGAAAGTTGAACTGGCTCGACTGAGTTACCAGAGGGCGGCTTGGGAGGTGGATTCTGGTCGCCGAAATACCTACTATGCCTCTATTGCAAAGGCGTTTGCTGGCGATATTGCCAACCAGTTAGCTACCGATGCTGTGCAGATTTTCGGAGGCAATGGGTTTAATACGGAATATCCTGTGGAGAAGCTGATGAGGGATGCCAAGATCTACCAGGTGAGGTCAAAAATGGTGTTGGTGGTCTGTGAGGGGAGAGAGTACTCATAAAGGACAAAAGAGATCTCTGGTTATTTAGGGGTTTTGTACCACAAGTGGTAGAAAATGAGACAGTTTGGGGATTATCAGTACAAAGAAGAACACTATTTTTGACTAAGTGTAGCTCTTGAAGTAGCCTCACAACGTAAATGGTGCAGGAATGTGTTTTATGTCTGGATGCTCTGGATACTGTCTGAGTTTCAGCATCCTGGAGAACGGTTACCCACAATTGTGTCTCCCAGGAGCAAGTGTGTCACTTAAAATTAATTAAGAGGTTTTCGTCTGACTCTTGCCTGACCGCTCTGACAGATACAGATGACTCCTACATTAAATGGGTGGTTAGGAAAACTGAGGAGTGCCTTAGTAAATAAGACCCAAGTCTGCCTGCTCTCCACGTGCAGCTTAAGCGGTGATGAGCCCTGCTCTTCCCTATCGCCTCCCTTTCCCCACTCCCAGCAGAGTGTTGGATAAATCCACTCATTCAACATCTGGAGGTAGATCAGAATTCTGGAGTGAGGAGGAACGCTAAGATACAGTGCAGCCCCTTGATTTAGACATGAACAAACTGACGACCAGAGTTGGTGCTTCATCTCCAGTCACAGCTGTATCTCGTGATATTGTCCCTCTCCTGAAGCCTATAATAATTATGATTATGGCTGGGCGTGGTGGCTCACGTCTGTCATCCCAGCACTTTGGGAGGTGGAAATGAAAGGATTGCCTGAGCCCAGTGGTTCGAGACCAGCCCGGACAAGTTGGTGAGACCTCGTCTCTACAATAAATCAAAAAATTAGCCAGACACAGTGGCACATGCCTGTAGTTTCTGCTACTTGGAAGGGGGAGGCAGAAGGATCGCCTGAGCCCAGCAGGTCAACGCTGCCATGGCTGCCTTTGTGCCACTGCACTCCAACCTGGGTGACAGAGTGAGACTCCGACTCAAAAAAATTAAATAGTTGCTATGGTTATTACCATCATTATCCACCACCTAGCTTTGCCATCTGAGAAGATGAGCTAACATGGCTCGCATTAAAAGTGTAGACTGGAAGTGAGCGTTGATGACTCGGATGCTTCCAGCGTCTTTGTCCTTAGCAACCCTGTTCCTCGGGCTGCACGAGCAAAAATGAGGTTTAAGAGTAAGAATAGGCCGGGCATGGTGGCTCAAGCCTGTCATCCCAGCACTTTGGGAGGCCGAGGTGAGGGGATTGCCTGAGCCCTCAGGTTCGAGAACAGTCTGGGCAACTTGGCGAGACCTCATCTCTACAATAAAGCAAAAAATTAGCCGGGCATGGTAGCGCATGCCTGTAGTTCCAGCTACTTGGAAGGCTGAAGCGGAAAAATCATCGGACCCCAGCAGGTCGACGCTGGGGTGACCGTGAGCGTGCCACTGCACTCCAACCTGGGTGATGGAGTGAGAATCCAACTCAAAAAAAAAAAAATAAGTGGAAGACTGAAGCTGAATGTGACAGCTAGCTAAGAGTAGTTTAGAAAGTTGGATAAATGTTTGGCAACACTGAACTTTAATTATTCTAAACTTTCTGAAATGTAAGTAGATTTTCTTTGATGTTTTGAAGACTCTCCAAAATTTTGGTAAATGACTTTTTACAATAATCTTTGGAGAATTATACATCTATTTTTTTATATTTATTCTGTTTATTATATGTTTACATATTTTCACAGTTTGACAAAATCAGGGTATGGCATCCGTAAAGGCTACGGACCCTATGTATATAGTTTGATTCAGTTTCAAAAATGTTGACTAAATCAGGGTATTTGTGCACTGAGGATAATCAACTTATGCTTAAATTTTTCTTGCAGATTTATGAAGGTACTGCACAAATCCAAAGGCTTATTATAGCCCGAGAGCATATTGAAAAGTATAAAAATTAAAGAGATTGCCACAGAAGCTTGATTAATCATGGAGCAACCAGAACATGTTCCAGTATTTCAGCTCCAGAAAAGATAAAGGGCTTTAACACCTTCCCAGGGAAAATAAAAATAACCGCGCTCATGCTAACTCCAAGCCACCGGTTCTGATAATAGCTTGTACGTTTGTTTAACTCTGTGATCTCCCTTTTCACAAATAGGTTTGGTTTCATTAAAATTACGTGTTGTCTTTCGTACCACTGTACTTGAGAATCACATTAACCTCGAAAAATACCTTTTTGTTTTTTTGATCTTGTAAAATTACAGTAGCAGAAATTCCTTGCAATTTCGTTATTTTTCCAGTGACAGAAAAGTGGGCTTGTAAAGTATTCAGAATGTTCCAAAATCTACATTGGGAAAATATTTGGATACTGTCAAACAACTTGCCAGTGACCTTATAGACTTAATGGCATTATTTTATTAGAGTTCATTTTAAGGAAATTTAGGAAGCATTTGCTTCCAGTTTTGCACAGTAAAAGTCAAGATTCTGATATTTGTATTCTCCCTTTGTACAGCTATGAGAAGTTCCCTGAAAGTCTTGTTTACTTCTGAGCTAACATTTGACTTGCCTTATTTAAAATAAATAAATTAAGCTTGCCTTACATTTTTCATATGACTCTGTTGGTCTCTGGGTAGCTCTAGTCTGTTGTATAATCTCATTTCATGTGCATACACTTTTAAAAGAAACTTAAATAAAATTGTTCAGTGCTTATTAGTGTATCTTTTTGTGGTCTTTCCAGAAAATTTTATTGCTTCATGTAATAGTGTGCACATCATGTTTTTACTGTGGTGATAAGAGGCATGTTTTGGTTTTGAACCACAAAAGGTTACCTGCCCATTTTTTGTCAGATTATAATATTAGAGACTTCATAAAATGGAAATATAAATAAGAACAAAAATGTGTAAATTTAATATTTTTAATTCTGAATACCTGTTGGGAGCCAGCCACAGAGTCCCACTGAGCGTTTGGGATCAGGGAGGGCCGTGGACCCCGAGACCACTAGGTTGTGTTCGGGAGCCGTTGACCCCATTTTCCTCCTCCTCTTACCATGAAGCACAAATAACCTAAAGGAGCTCTGCTGACCTGAGCTGAAGGTTCTGTGACGGTGACAGGCATGGCTCACTCTAGAAATTCATTGTTCCTGTTTCCCATAAACTGCAGTTTCGGCTTAGGTGTTAGATATAATTCAAACTCAGGTCACATTTGGGAGCCTTTTACACGGTACAAGCCTCTTTATAAGATTTTAAAGTATATTTGTAGAATTAGTATATACTTATGGAGAGCTGTTTTCAGCTTTTCAGTGGTATAGATGATTATCAAGAGTTATCAGAAATGGCCCAGCACAAACTTTGGGCTGGGCCACATTCCTGAGGGCCCAGTGTGTACTTTGGACTGGGCTGCAGTCTTTTAGGCCGGCTTTAGCTACAGTTAGTGTAGGGTTTTTCTACCTATTATAGAAATTGAATTTATTTTATTCATAGAAAGTATTGTAGAATAGGTCATGCTAACGTCAGGGAATCATGTTAGTTCAAGCATGATCAATCATGATATTTTGAGGTTTAATAAGAATACAGTTAACTTTAGAAATTTCATTGTCTCCATTTTCTACTATTGTGGTTTTGACCTTAGTACATTTACAGTTTATATTTGGGTTTTATTTTTAGAAGCTTTGTTGCTGATGATCAGCTTTATATATTAGGATCAGGAATTAGAAACTTTCATAGAAATTAGGATACAGGGTTCCTCATGACTCTGCTGCTTAGAATTTGATGTGTATGCTGCAGGTTTTCAAGCATTCATACAAGGAAATACTTCCAGGGTGGGCCTCTCAGAAGAAGGCTCACAATTCCTCTCTGGTCTTCCCCTAAACATTCTACCAGCAGATGATCTCCCCTTTGTGGTCTTTCTACTAATGAGCCAAGGCAGGAGTACTATTCAGATGCTAAATATGGATCTTGTGTGTCTCCTTGCTTTCTGCCCCCTCCCTTGCCCTGGGCCTTGGTCCTAGTCTGTGGTGTTTTCCACCCACTTTATTTGCAAAGCATGGGTCATGAGTAGCAGTGTCTTGGGTTGGGGGCCTTCACCAGCCCTCATCTCCAAGTACTGAAAGCCTTAGGGGCTGCTTTTGTGGCTTCCATCAGCTGCAGGTTAAGCCAGGTGTGCACCTGCTAGAGGAGAAGTCACAGCACTACAGAAGTTCACATAGAAACTCTAAAGAAAGTGGCTTCAGACTGTTTCCAGTAGCCAAAATATTTCAGTGTACATTCTTTTGAAGAACATGTACCGTAGTACAAAGCGCCTGTGCGTATTTTTCTCTGCCTATAGTTATTTGCACACTTGTTTGGAAAGGCATTTTGAGGCTCAGGAGGCAACAGTGGCTCCCTTTGACTTGGTCACAGTCACACTAGTCTCATTAGAGTCCTGGCCCATTCGTAGGCCATCAGGATGCCTTATGGCAGCAGAAAGGTTGAATACTCCTTCTGCCAGGCTTTAGACCTTTCAAAAAAAATCCCAGAGTGCATACTCCCAGGCAGTGGTGAGCACAAAAATCTGTTCTGTCTCCAGTGAACAAACCCTGCTTGCTGTTCCCTGGGATTGCTCTGCTGTCACCCCTCACCCCCACCCTCTTCTTCAGAAAACTGCTGTGAAAAGTTCTCAAAATAGTTTGAAATTGATCAGTTCCTGTTTCTTCTGTAAAGCTCATGACACTAGTGGTGCATTCTGATTTACATTTCTTAAGTAGAACCTCCTTAATCCCTAAGAGGCTTTAAAATAAGTCACAAATTCCTGTTAACATCAGATTTTTTGCTGATAATCAAATCAAGCAGATTTTTTTAATGTAAAAATTCCAACAAAACGATGTAAACCACAATCCAGAATTGTTTTCACTTTCATCCACATGTTTAATCTTGGAAATGTGGGTTTGCTACAAGTTCACTATTCTTCATAAAATAAAATGTGTCTAGTAAAATGCTAAAAAAAAGAAAGAAATTAGGATAGATGTATAGGACTTTAGAATAGCCATTTTGTTAAGAGATTGTAGTCTATTGTTCCAAAAAGTGGCCCACCGTGAACCTTGGACTGGGCCACATCCTGTAGAGCCCAGAGTGATCTTTGGACTGGGCTACATTCTCTAGGAATTGGTTTAAACTATAATTAAGAGCTTTCATAGCATTGTGTAAGTAGTATTAGCATAGAATAGAAAGGTAATAAAATTTAAGTTAGTCATCATGGGTGTTGTGTGCGCAGGAGCTTTAGAAGTTATTGTTAGAACAACATGATGCTAGTAGCATTGCTTTTGAAGAACATTAACTAGCATAGGGAACAATAAGACAATTTTGCAGTTTGTCCTTCCTCATACCTGAGAAAACATCTAGTGGGTGGGGGACGCCCCTCATCCACCTGGCTTTGTGTTCACGTGAAAATCTTGTGATTTTGCCTGTGAAACTTTAGGATAAAAGGCTTATGGTTTGTCCCATTAAATCGGCTTCTGCACTAGACAGAGTCCGGTCTCTTTCTTTCTCCCCCCTTCTCTTTCTTTCTCTTTATTTCTCCAGAATAATCGCCGACGCTGCCACACCTTCCAAGGGACCTCCTCCTCTCTCTGCAGGGGCTAGCCCCCGCAAATACCAAACACTGATAAAGTGCGCTCTATTAAATGGGATACTTTCTGACACCACTTCTGATTCTCCCGATCTCCACATCAACGTGGGTCCTGCATTTCTGTTCTGGTCCTGGCCCAGGCGACCCATACTCTGTCCACCACGGCTACAGATGTGGGTGGTCCTATGACCCTGCCCTCACGTTTGATAATCTGCTAGAACAGCTCACTGAACACAGCTTCACCTACGCTTACCTGTTTTTTATCAAGGCTGCAACTCAGGAATAACGGGGCGGGGGGAGGAGGATGCTGAGGGCAAGCGGGAAGGGAGGGAAGACGCAGAGCCTCCATGTCCCCTCGCAGGCACCGCTTTCTCAGGACCCCCAGACTCACCAGCCTGGAGGCGACCTGAATCTGCATCGCAGTCGTGCTTTTGGAGAACTCAGTCTCTAGTCCTCACTTCCTCCCTGGAAGTCAGGGGTGAAGCTGAGATCTCCCCGCTGTGTCAGTCTGCTAGGGCTGCCATAAAAAATACGCTGCAGCCTGTCATCCCGCACCTTTGGGAGGCTGAGGTGAGTGGATGGCCTGAGCCTGCGGGTTCGAGACCCGCCTGGGCAGCGAGACCTCATCTCTACAATAAATCAAAAAATCAGCTGGACGTGGTAGTGCATGCCTGTAATTCCGGCTGCTCGGAAGGCCGAGGCGGAAGGATGGCCGGAGCCCAGCAGGCCGAGGCTGCGGTGGCCGGGAGCGGCCACTGCACTCCGGTCTGGGCGACCGAGTGAGACTCCGACTCAAACAAAACAAAACAAAACAAAAACAACGCTGCAGACTTGGTGGCTTCAGTGTGTTTTCTCACAGTTCTGGGAGCTAGCAGTCTTAAGGGCCAGGTGCCACGAGGACGGTCTCCGGAGAAGCCTCTTCCCGGCTTGCAGACCGCTGCCTTCTGGCCCCCTCGCGTGTCCCCGGCTCTGCGCCTCCGTGAAGGGCTGGGCTGGGGAGGCTCTGGCGTCCCTTCCCTTCTAAGAACACCAGTCCTATCCGATTAGAGCCCTCCCCTTGTGATCGTAACTCCCCAAAGGGCCTATCTCCTGGCACAGTCACTCTGGGAGTTAGGGCTTCAGCATGGGGATTTGGGCGGCCAGGGTTCAACCCATAACACTACCCTCTAATTACTTAGTCTTTCTGGACCTGTCCTGGGACTATCTAGGGGCCCCAACCTAAGTCACCTCATTAGCATAAGCTCAGGTGTGAGTGAAAAGGGCCCCTAGTGAGTAACAAAACACTCTCCTATCACTCAAGAAACTCCAAGGGCTTTGGGAGCTCTGTGCCAGGAACTGGGAACGAAGACCAAACGTATTTTCTTGTGCCACCCTAAATGACCAAAACGAAAACCCAGTCTTTTCTAAATATGAAATATTTACATGGCTTTTCCTTCGTGCTCAATAACAACATTGTTTTAATGGCACAGACTTGAGATTGGTAAGGAGATTTAGAGGATTCTTCACCATACTGGGTGTTATATAGAAGTGAGATGTTAAACAGGCTATGTGCATTCCAAATGCAGATTTGAATATGCAACACACAGGTCCCAAAATTCACCTCTCATTTCTAGACAGGGTATAAATGGACTCCAAAGCCTTATGATGAGAAAATTAAAGTACCCTTGATAATAAGTCTGAAGCACTTCTATAGCTGTGTCAATCAAGCCTTTTTGGTCATAAGTAAAAATGAACTTCAGCTACTTTAAGCACAAAAGCAAAGAGTCTTTTAAGCACATGGCGATGCCTCAGGGAGCTGAAGGGCAGGAATGGCGTCAGACTCAGGAAGGGACTAGAACTGGAATAATCCGTCTGAGGACACCATGAGACAGTCTTTCTACCTCTTACTCTGCTCTTTGTCGTTGTTGGATTGGTGGGCTGAATCGGCGCCATGGAAATGAAAAGAGTTGTACAGAAATTAGAAAGTTTATTTAAAAAGTAGATCACAGCCAGGCTCGGTGACTCAGCCTGTAATCCCGCATCTTTGGGAGGCTGAGGTGAGTGGATTGCCTGAGCCCGTGGGTTCGAGACCCACCTGGGCAACTTGGGGAGACCTCATCTCTACAATA